ACCCTGCGTGATCTGGCCCCTGCCAACCTGTCCATCCTCGTCTTCAGTACTTTTCTCCCTCTCTCTGTTTCTGCTGTTAGGGGAAAAGAATGTCCTGGACAAAACTAGGAACTTCTTGCTCTTTCTTGTTCTTCTCTTTCCTTTTGTCCATAATACCCTTCCCCAGACATCCCACCCTGGTCACCTTATCACAAAGAGCCATATCCTTCTCCCTGGAATTCTGCAGCCACCTGCTCTATTTCACTTTTTTTCTCATGGCACTTACCATCTGACCAATTATAGTGTTTATTATATCAATAAAACATAAATATTAATTACTATGTTTATTTGTCCATTGTTAGACTCTTGAGCCCTGTGAAGACAGAGAGTTTCTTTAGTTCACCGCTTTATTCCCAGCCTTTAGCACAGCGCCTGGTATACAGAAGTACTCCACGTATTTGATCAATGAATGACAGCAGATTAAATGGACAGCTGTCATATCCCTTTGGCTTCAGGGGCCTTCTAGGCCCTCTCATCCTCCTGTCCCTCCCTGGCCACCTGTTCAGTGAACAAACCTTCCACAGGGAACAAAGCCCAGGCTGATGGTTCTAATCGTTGCCGAGAGCTTTAAATACTTAATGATGGGACAAACACTTTGCTAAACCCTGAATACATACGATCTCATTAAACCTCTAAACAACCCAGGTAGTAGGTACGTTATGATCCCTTGTTTACATGGGATGAAACTCAGACACAGATAGGTTATATGGCTTGTCAGCATGATGTACAGGAAGTGGTAGGGTCATGATTTGAACTGAGGATTTCTGTATCCAGAATTCATGCTCTTAACCATTACTCCAAGAACCCAGCTTCTAAGAGGGGTGACCCAGAGCATGACTTTCACATCAACCATGTCACTAACTCATTTCAGAACTATTCTTGAGTGCAGGGCTCTTGAGAAGGCAGAGGGAGCAGCGCCAGGGCTTAGACCTAAAGGAGTGTCAGAGCCAGGGCCTAGTTTACCTTCTTCACTCTCTACTTTGGAGGCCCCAGATCCTGAGAGCCTGGAAAGAATCCCATGCCAGATCATCTCCCACTAATTAGCTTAGCAAACCATGCTTATCTGGGCAAAACTGGGGCCCACTGAGTTCATGATTAGGGGAAGCAGGATTCACGGCTTACAGCTTTGCTGCCCACAGGGTCAGAGGAGACAGGGTTAGTACTTTAATTGGCTTAACAGCCCTGAGTAGCTTAACAGCTCACAGGGGTGGGGTGGTGAGGGGGAAGGGATGGAAACAGTTTGGTGGCCAGCCCAAGTCTCTGTCAAAGGATCTTGTGCTCTTCTCTTAGGGATCAGCCTGTCTCTGAAAAGGCCATTGCTCTGGGGTCCTCCAAAACAGCCAGTATGGTGGAGAGCGGAAGAGAACTTGGGCTTAGGAGATTGAAAACACTGGGTTGAAACCTCACCTTCCCCCCCACTTCCTCAAAGGGTGACCTTGATTTCTCTCAGCCTCATTTTCTTGTTTGGTAAATGGGTTTATCAACTGCTAGTTAGTTCTTTGCCTCCTCTGCCTCCACAGAGCCTTATTTTGTGCTAATAATAATAATAATAATAATATCATATCTCGGGGTTTATTTGAGACTAAAGTAAGTGTCATGCATGAAAGGACCATATCAATTATGAAGAGCTAGACCAGAAGTTACCAAGAGGACAGATCAACAAATGTATTTCCTTTGGCCGATACTATTTTTACAAATAAGTAGTTGAAATGGGGAGAATTCACACAAAAAATCCCATCTGTCTTGTGAAATTGAGACTCGACAGTTCACAACTTCTCATGTCACTATCAGCTGGAGATGGTAGTCACTTCCCCTTCTTCTCCAGGACCCTGATTAACCCATAATGTCCTCTTATCTGACATCCAGGTACTGACACAGGTGGGTGTTACTGGCTCTCAAAAGATTTGAGTTTTTTTTGGCATTGCATAAATGTGACGAGTTGAAAAATATGTTTATGATTCAAATTCTTGTATTCAGAATTGGAAATATACAATCAGGACCTAAATGACTGACCAGTTTCCCAGATGTGACCCTCCAGAGCTCAGACATATATCTCTTTCCTCATAACCCAAGGTTCCACCAGTCAGAACCTTCATCAAATCCTACTGAACAGCAAACTTGTTCATTGTGGGAACATTTCATGTGGTAAGCAAACATGTTTTGTCAATATTGCTCAATTTCTAGGAATGCCAGCCGTGGTGGCTTCTCTATACCTTTTCTGAATTTTCCTCCATTTAGCCAGACGCTAGTTTTAGATTCCAAAACTATTGGGAGAGGGCCCAAGGTTTTAACTAGCTAGACTCAGTCAGAATTTCAGAAAAGGGAAGACTGTTAAGGTCATCAAATCTCATTTTACATAGAAGGAAACTGAGGCCCGGAAATGGTAAGAACATCACCCAAGGTCACCTAGCAAGCTAGTCAGAAGCCTGGCTGAAGATATAGTTTTGCTCTCACCCACCAGCTCTCCAATGTAGCACTTGCCCCACAATACAGAATGTCTCCCAACCTTACCCACATGGTTCAACTCCCCCTTCTTTTACATTCTTATCTCAGTGCAGCAGAAGCCCTGACTTTCTATCATCCTGGAATCTTGGTATCTCAAACTCATAATTCTTTGAGCTTGGGGAACACTTTAGTGGCAGAATTGCAGGGTGAATAAATTGAACTTGGGCTTTGAAGGCAGAGAATCTTGAGTCTTAGCCCTCCTAGTCCCAAGCTGCATGACCTTGGGCAAGGATGCCCCTCTTCTGAGCCTCCATTCTCTCACCTGTTAAGTAGGAATCACAATACTAACAACATAACAAGGTCTTAGGAGGACACAGGAGACAACACAGGTAAAATGGCAACCAATAAGCACAAAATGAATGCTTAATAAAATTAGGATTAAATTGGGATTCTTGTCCCTAGTGCCTAAGTAATACTGTCCAAATGTGATCTAAGGGAACGGAACTGGAAAAACTAGAGTACACATACCCTGCCTAAATTGCTACAGGCCTGATATTGCTAGACTCAATTTTTTGTTTTCAAAAGAAGCTAAGACTGTTTCATTTTGTTTTTTAACTACTATACAAGTCAAACAAATTACTTCTGTGGGCCAGGTTTAATCTAAGAGCCATTAGTTTGTCACCCTTACAAAATCATCTAATTCCAACCCTCCCTCACTTTACAAATGGGAGAGAACTGAAATAGCTAGCTAGTTCTTTTATGTAAGAAGCTGCAGAACACATGGACCCTCTATCACTTCCATCTACTCCTCTGAGATCCCCATCCCATGGTCATTTTTTGCCCTGTTTGAGGAAAATTCAGTTTGTGTTCAAGAAAGAAGTATTAGTTTCTTGTTAGCGGATCTTGAACAAGGGGAGGAGGGTGGTCTGAGGTAGCCAGTGAGTTGAGGGGCAGCTGGCCCACTTTAGGCTGAAGGGAAAGAGGTATGAAGCTTTGGCTACCAAGAATAGGAAGTTACCATTTCAGAATCTAAAAATATCTTTCACCATCTGTCCACTCGGGCACAGAACGATAAATGCAGATTAGTTCCTGGATGTAGACATGAATATTTTTATGTGTCAAGCTAATAATAATAACACCACTTGTGTGGATAGAGTTCCACCCTCATTTCCCCCCAGGGCAAGCTAAATGGAATATACACATCATCTTGGCAGGCATTGATGGGGAAACCAAGGCAGAGAGAAATCTGGCAACACAATAAGGGTGACACAGCAAGTGAGCAGCTGGGACAAACCCTGGGAGTCCTGTCGCCAACCTTCAGTCCATAACTGAATCTTCTGAGTAAAGCAGAATGTGTTAACAAGTAGCAGGATAGATATAACAACAGCAATAATCACCCTTAACATCTAGAGTGACTTTGATTTTTTCCATGTTTTCCCCACATCCGTGATAATCATGACAATCTATGACATTCCTAAAATATGTTACAGTCTAAAGGGCCTTCATACTGACCTTCTTTGACTTGACCATTTCAACAGGTAAGAAAAATGTGACCATAGACTAATGAGGTAAGAATAGGAATTCTCCCTCATTACACAAGTAAGCAAAATGAGACTTGAAGAGAGAAGAGTGTTTACCTAAGATCACATAGTAGGAAAGTTTATTCTGTCAGCACACAGTAGGTCCTATGACACTATAGCAATTTTGATTCAAAGGGAACCTGAGGTTTAGAATCCCCCTCTGTCCAATTAACTCAGCTCAGCTCAGCTCAGTTCAGCAGCCACCCTCAGTCCTGGCAGGCGGAGAAGACTGGAAGTGGATTTCTTGTAAAAGCCTCAGTTTTATCTTACTGTTCTGGGGTTAAGGGGCAGCTAGTGGCCATTTAATCTGTCTCAAGACTCCAAGCCCCCTGGGCCCTGTTGGAAGTTGTGAAAACTAGGAGAGTCTTAGGAAACAGAAGGAGCCTGGGAGTTACTTAGTTGGATCCAGCTCATCCTTTCTCAAAAGTCCAAAAAGTTTAGGTAGGATATTCATTCAGCTGACTCAAATTCTGTTCCTCCTGAGAGGTTGGGAATAAACAGCAATTCTGAACTGAGAATTTTTGAGGGTAGAAAGGGATTTCTGGGACTTTCCTTTGCCCAAGCTCAGTACTCAGGCAGAGAGGAGCAGAATCAGGGGGCCCTGGGGCCCTGCTCCAAGCTTCACACTCATCTACATCAGCGCCAAGCATTCCTCCCTCATTCACGCATCCTTGAGGATTTCTTTCTCTTTTCTTGCCCCATCCCCTCCCCCTTCAAAGGCCAGATCAGAGAGGATGGCACTAGGGTTGGTCAGTTTGAAGGCAGAGGGTAGGGAGGAGGTGGCAGGGAAGAAATCAGAGCTGCAATAGGGTGGGGCGGGGCGGAGGTCAGAACAGGAGGGGAAACTGAAGAGGTCAGAGCAGGGCTGGGGAGGCAGGCAGACCCTTGCCTCCCCAACTCCTGGAACTCAGCTCCCTTCAGCTGCGTATCTCTTACCTCCAGACCTGGCCGAGCTGCAGAAGGTGGATGAGGGTCTGCAGCAGCCAGACGCAGAGGCGGCAGCAGCGGCGGCGGTAGGCGCTGGCTGAGGAGGGCGCGGGCCGGGGGCCCAGCTCGGCGCTGCCTTCTTTGGTCCGGAAGGCGGTGGTACTGTCCTTGGTGCTGATGGCGACCCCTCCGGCGCCGCTGTCCTTGGTGCTGACGGCGGGTCCCGGGGCCCCGGCGGGCTCTGTGTAGTCGTAGACAAACCAGCGGAAGCTTAGCAGCTGCACGACTAGCGAGGGTAGCAGCACGAATAGCAACGTGAGGCCGAAGTAGGTGTGCTGACCCTGCAGGTAGTAGGAGGCCGCCAGCCACAGGTCCGTGGCGCCGTCGGAGAAGAACACGAGCAGCGCGCACAGCACCCAGCAGCAGTCCCGTAGCTCGTAGCGCGGCCCCGGGCCTGCGGTCCCGGTCACCCCGGAGCCTCCGACCGCCGCCGCAGCCTCCTCGCGCCCGCCGGTGCTGCCCCGGGCTCCTCCGGCCGCCCCCTCCGCCCCGGGCCGGCCGCGGCCGCCGCTCCATCCGACTTCGCGGCCATGTTGGCGGAGCAGGAGGCGGGGAGCGACTTCCGGGCGGCGGAGGGGGTGGGGTGCGGAGCGGGGAGGACCCTGTGCGGGCGGCTCCCGCCTCCTCCCCTGCTCCTTCCCCTCTCCCTCCTCCCCCCTTCCACCTCAATTATTCATTCCCCTCGGCGCCGCCCCGCCCTCCCCCCTCCCGCCCCGGCCGCGGCCGGATGGGGCCGACCCCTCGGGAAGGGCGGGCGGAGGGAGGCCGGGGGGAGCATCCCAGGTCACCCGCTCCCTTCTTCCTCGGGAGCGCGAGCCACGAGCTTCTCGCTCTCTCCCCCCACCGCACTCCACTCCACTCCCTCTTGCCTCTTTTCTTCGCTGCCCTATCCAGCCTCCCCTCTTTCACGTACCCCTCTGTTTACCTTTGAGGACCTGGGTCTGAGAAGGGTGGGGAGCCAGGGACCTGGAAGTAAGGAGGTGCTTATGCAGGGACGCCAGTGACCCTTTAGCAAGGGCTGGATGCTAAGCCGCGCTTTCTAGTTTCCTGAGTTGGAACATTGTTTCATCCCTTTCTTTGATCTTGAGAGGTCTCTTCCCACTGCCTTTTTCTTGCTGTTTTGAAGCTGATAAAACCGTAGCACGGGGAGTTGCTGTCTCTTATCCACTCTCCCTTTTCCCTCCTTCAGGGACTGTCTTCATTTAGCCTCAACCTTAGTAGAGTAGGGATATGAAGGGGACACTATGAGGGGGTCGGGGGAGAATGGGAGCAAACAGCAAGTGCCAAAGCCTGGAGGCAGGAGACTGGAGGGCATTTTTCTAGGAAGTTTGGCTCAGAGTTCTGGGGGAATGCAAAGCTGGGAAAGATGGGACTGCAGAGTTCTGAGGGATGAGAAGCTAAAGTTCCAGAAGAAGCAATGGGGAAACACTATAAAATTTGAGCAGATGAGTAATGTGATCAAGATTTGGAAAAAAGACTGAGTCAGAGGAGGGCAGTGCTCCCAGGGAAGCAGCCTGGCGTGGAGAGACCAGAGGGAGAACATGACAGTAGTCCAGAAGAGGAGGTGGTGTCTCGCACACACATCAGGATGCCCTCACCTCATCTCTCCCTCCCTTTTTGCTCAGATTGGATATACCAGGGCATTTTACACACACACACGCACACACACACACATCATTATATGTAATATATATTATATTCTATATTACACTCATGTAGCAGTTTCTCTTTCCTGGAACCGCTCAAAGCACTTTGCACTTACCGACTTATTTTATCTTCACAATTTGTTGGTTTACTTCCCTCCTCTATTTTATAGATGAGAAATCAAGTCACAGAGAAGTTAGTTTGTTCCAAGTCACACAGTTAATAAATCAAATTGAAACCTATCATCTGGCTGCAGAATAGGCTTTGCTACTTCCCAAGGGAAGGAGAAGAGTTCAGAGAGAAGGGAAAGAGACTAGAGGGGAGGGGCAGGGGTTGGAGGTTTTGGGAGGCCCATCCTGCCTCAGAGTGACAGGGAGGATGAAGGGAGACAGCTGCCCCTCAGTCAGGAAGGAGCAGCCATCTGCAGTCCTGCAGCCCAGCATCCCTTTCCTGTCCAGGGACTGTTTTGGTTCCAGCAGTGTTCAGGAGGCTGCAGTGCCAGCTGTGGCCCAAAACAAGAGGAAGAGTTAGGGTTAGTTTTCCAGGTTGGATTCAAAGCTGACAATCCATATCCATGGACATGTGTACACTAGTGGGCATTTTTGTGGATTGGGTTGGAGGGACTTTGAATCCCAATATGATTTAGGCAGAGACAGTATCTCTGCCTTTTCTTTTTCTATACAACTCTAGGCAGGGAAACTCATGGAGTGTGCCCTGGACAGAGGCAAGCTCTGATCCTGGATCCCCTTATGGGTCTGGGACCAGTGGCTATATGTGTCTGCGCCTCTGCCTTCTCACAGGGGCCTCGATGGAACCTGACAGAGCCAAGCTGTCACCTTGGGGTCCCAACCAAATGGAGACAGCCCCTCTGCCTCCCATGCATCTCCATATCCCAGGGGCAGCCTGGTCAAGCAGTCAGTAGAAGACAGGTTTTTATGTCTGAGATTCTGGAGCCAGAAATGTAGGTTCAACATCCTACTCCATGATCGTGGGCAAGTAACTCAATTTCTCTCGGCTTGGGGTGGGGGGGCGATAAAATGGGGGGTGGTGGTAACCAGAGCTTTCCTCCTAGGGTTTGGTGAGGATAATTAATGCTACCATGATACTTTAGACTTGTCCTTCTTTACATCAGTACTTTGGCAATTTATTATCTTAAATGTTTGCCTGTTTGGAATTGTCTAGGAGTTTCATGAGAGGTCACTTTAAAAAAAAATATATAATCACTAACATTAGTGCTTTCAGTGCTAGCCATATGTGTGTGTGTGTGTGTATGTGTGTGTAAAAACCCTTGGACCTTTGTTGGGAATCACTCTTAATCACTCTTAGGAATAGACCTCATCACATTTCCTCAATTAGCTGAGAGCTCAGACTATCTCTACTGCACCTTCTGCTTGGACCAGTTCTTAATAATATTCCTTTAGTTCCTGAGCAAACCATGCACAAGAAAATTAACATAACATTGTTTAAAAGGGCAAATACTAGGAACAGTCTTAATGTCCATCAATAAGGAACTGACTAAATGAATCACTTCCTGACAACAACAGGGCATATGGCAGTAATAGAGGCAATAAAGCTCCATCTCCTAGTACAGAGGGGTCACCTATTCTGCTTCCCATTTAGGCTCTGGTGAATCCTATCACCCCCACACCTCTGGCCTACACCCCAGTTCTTCTACACTAAATAAATAAATAAATAAATAAATAAATAAATAAATAAAATAATGGGGACAACTGCTACTCAGTTGCTGCTGAATGTTATAATTTGGGAATGGGTAGTCGGCATGATCAAATTTTTCTAACCAAGAAAAACCAGAAATCTGAATTGTCCTCTAAAATCTCTTATTTTAAATGTTGGCTCCAATTTTTCTCAAACACTTTTCAGGCCAAATAAATAGGTCAGTGGGTCAGTTGTGGCCTAAGCACCACCCATTTTCAGTTTCAGCTCCAATGGCTCTCTGCTCCCATTGCTGGACTTCTTCAGCACCCATGTTGCCACCCCCAGGTGGGAGCTGCAGACAGAAAAGTGTCTTGTCCTGCCCCTGTCCTGCCAACTCTATCTTGCCTCTAGGGACTGTGACATTTGGAGCTTTTAACTCAAGATCTGGAAGGCAGAGAGGGGTTGTGAACTCTCAGATAATTCCCTCCCTGGGTCCCTGAGGTTTCGAGGCCCAGCTGCCTCCTGCTGGCCACCCATCTGTCCCTGGGAAGTGGGGACAAGAGTGGGGCTGGCAGTGATGGGGTGGGTAGAAGGCCCTGCTCTGAGTCTCAGATCACTGGGCTCTGTCCAGACCCAGAATTCAAGAGGAAAAACCTACAGATTGTCAGAAAAGAAAAACAGGCTTGGCTGCACATAGTTGCTGTATGCCTTAAGGTAACTTACCCCACTATCAAATGCCAGAACTAGAAGTCCTCTGGGACCACCTCATCCATCCACTCATTGCACAGATGGGAAGACCTACCTCTGCCCCCACCTTGCTGACCCAGGCCACGGCCTTGTCACCTCTCTCCTGAACAACTGGACTGCACCAGCCTCCTCACTGGGCTCCCCTCCAAATGTTCAATTTCCACCCTTTAGCCAAAGGACCTTTTTAAAAGGGAAATCTGATCAGACCCTAGGTCTGCTTAGAACCTTCGACTACTTCCTGTCTTGCTTGGAGCCAAAACCCTCAGCTTGCCTGAAATCTCTCCCTTGTTCTCCTCTTGATCCATCCCTTCTGTCTCTCCTCACTCATTCTATTCCAGTCACATCATTTCTTTGCTTTGTTTCCTTAACACGTTTCTCCTAGGGTTTTCCTGCTCCTGCTGTCCCCTCGGGACTCAGGAGACTCCATCTTTCTCTTTTCTGAAATGTCTCTTCCTGATTGTTTCCCCGACCCTCTAGGCCCACACCTGCTTTATTTTTTATTCCTAGAATTTATGACAACATGATGTTATCGTTTGTATTTATGTGTTTCTTATCTGGAAGGTAAGGTCTGTGGAGGCAGCAATCAAGCTTACGTTGCTCACCTCTGTGTCCATAGCACTTACAGGGGCTTGGCACCTAGATGTTCAGTGGTCCTGAGCCAACTGTCACCTGAAAGGTCACAAGTCTCCAATTCAGGTGACAGCCAGCCCTGATTCTGCCTTTACCTACTTAGGTGACTGTGAGCAAGTCACTCCTACACTCTGGGCCCAGTTTTCTCATTTGTAAAATAAGGGAATCATGAAGACTTCTTCAATCCAACAATTCTGGATATCTTCTCTGTTCCCATGCTACTTTCTTCCCTGTGTGAAGGGAAGAAACAAACATAATCATACTTATTTATTGTATAATTCATGCATTCACAGGGTTCAAAAATCAAAGGTACAAAAGGGACACATCTGTCTCTCCTATCACTTCCCCCAGCTACCAGATCCCCTCCCCAGAGGGCAGTTGCTTGCACAAGTTCTTCTCTCCTTTCTCCCCTATTCCACCAATTAAAAATTATTGATAGTTTCATTATATATTGTTCTGTAACTTGCACTCCTGCCTCACAAAACAGTATTTTAGACGCTGCTATGTATCAGTGCACAGAAACTTTTCTTGTTCTTTTTCATGGCACCGTACCATTCCATTGCAGCAATATATCATAATCTACCTCACTAATCCCTAAATAATGGACCATTAGGTTGTCCCCCGCCTGCTACAATGCATCTGTGAATGACATTGAGGACACCATTTTGGATAGGTAGAGTATTTGGACTTGTTGATGGAATGGTCTGTGTGTTAATAATTTTGATAGATGCCCTCTATGGAGATGATTCCAATGTATTGCCATATACCAGCATTAAGTAAAGATGCTCATAAAAGACCTCTTAAAATTGACTGCAGTGGTCCCCAAGACTGCTTAGAGATGGGGAAATTATTCTA